TGTACACCTCTACGAACGACTGCAGGAGATCACAGGGGAAATTCATTGAGGTTCAGCGTAAAGTTTGGTCCACAACCTCCCACCTGACTGACATGTGCTCACCTCGTTGTCTGCGAACTCGCAGTACTGCAGGTTGGCATCCTTCAGAGCTCTGACGCAGGCGTACGTGTTGTTGAAGGCATCTTCACATACGCAGTCTGGGAAGCATTCCTAGAAATCAGGAGATGCTGATGAGCAAATGCATCGATGCCATTTTTGGTTCTAAAAGAACCTTTCAGTGATCAGTTCTTAAAAAAATCTTTTTTTTCTTAGTGTGAGGAACATTTGAACTTTTTTCCACTATGAAGAACCTTTTGCGCAATTGAAAGTTTCCATGAATCTTCATGGAACCACCAATGCCAATAAAGAAGCTTAGTTTTTAAGAGTGTAGTAAATGATTCCTGAAACACTTACAGCTAGTCCAGGGCCGAATTTAGGGCAGCTGGGATCTTCAGAGGAATGTCCCTCACCGTTGTACTCAACCAGAAAGAAGGGCCGTTCGGTGCCATTACGCAACGATGGTGCCTTCATGAGAATATTTGAAGAGAAAAGACACAGAGAAGACTTTCTTTCACTGTGACATTAGACAATCCTCTTTCATTGGTAATAATGTAATTTTCATTATTACTGTAATGCAAAAAAGTTATGACAATGGTCTTACTAGGACCATCATTTTTTCTTGAAAATGAACACAATGCAGAAAATATTACTTTGATTATAATTAAACGCTTCAGATTTTATATAGAGTCATTATAGTATTTTGTAGCTAATAATGCGATTTGATGGGAAAAAGTGCTTAATTTTCGCAATGCATAAAAATCTTAATGGTCCTAAAACATGCTTCATTTTTCCTTTATAAAAAAATATGATGTGAAAATATGATGTGGACATGCTTCTGACAGGTTTTGTGAGAAGCTACTGTTTAAAGGTGAGGGGTTGCTAAGATTTCTTTTTTAAAATGTTTTTGAAAGAAGTCTCTTCTGCTCACCAAAGCTGCATTAATTTGATCAAAAACACAGTAAAAACAGTAATATTGT